TCCTATTGAGGTGTGGTTGAAGGGAAAGATTTGAAGACAGTTTTTATTTAAGAGTTCGCAGGAATTTTTGTTTTCTCACCATGATGGTCGAAAGAATCTTATGGAGGATGTCTTGTATTATTACAATTAATTCTTTCTTATCAACTGTGTCAGTCTAAATAGCAACTACCCAGACAAAACTGTTTCAAAGACTTAAAATACTATTCCTTTCACTCGAAAAGCGCTGATAAGTTACTGAAAATTAGTTTAAAAAATAGTTTCATGAAGTATGATAAAATGGTCTCCTTGAATGTTATCTTTTTTACCCGGCGTTTCTGGGGAATTGACAGAATTATTGCGTCATTTAATATTTATTCTCCGTTTCGTCGAGTTTTTCAGGGTAAGCAGGAACACTACCTAAATCATTACGTAGGAATACTTGAAAATCTTGTTCCCGTTTTTTCAACTTGCATGTCTTCGCAACTGTCCCTATAATTTTGCGTTCACAGCTATTTTAAGTTCTTCTTTCGCAGGATTTCGATGCGTCTCATGCTAAGGATTTGGACCCAACTCAGCCATTTCTTTAGATTTTTTTGGGAACAAAATTTCTCTTCGTCTGTAAATAGCTTCTGTTTCGCCCCAATGAGTACGTAATGCTTGGAATGTTGGCATCAGTGCTGCCTGCGAGTTTTTTACCTTCACCTGCAGCCATAGTAGAAATAACCACAATGATTATCGGGGAAAGGGGAAGGAAGGCCATAGGTTAAGAAAAGTTGCGCGAGTGGTAACTATTAGCAAGATTGGCATAATGTGAGCTAGGGGCAAATAACTACATAATTCACACCCGCCCAAGCAAGCTTCCAGCTTTTCGTTAATGTTAATATCTAGATTTGGATCAAAGTGTGAATTATCCACTTACTGAATACCCTTTGATCATATTTATGAAAGGTTTGATGTAGTAGTAAGATAAGTCACTCTTCAACCAAAAATCGTTATATTATCATTTACGAATAGCGAGAGTCTTACGTCCCATATGAGAGGATCAGAGCAGGGTGAGCTGCATGGGTTGCCACCCGACAACACTAATTTTTGGAATTGAACATTAAATTTTAAGCATTTGAAGCAAACCTTCTTAAACTTTCAATATTTTTTGAACATTTTAATATTATTTTTTAATTTCTGTTGAGTAGAAATGACTATACATTAAGAAAGTCTTAGTAATAGCAATTCACTAATTCCAAGACTAGCAAACTTATACAATATTTAATATAATTTCGCAAAAACTAATGTATAAAATTATTTCAAAACTCAATTTAATTTGATAGAGAGAAAATATAAAATTAGTATTAGTTTATGCAAACAATGAGAAAATGTAAAAACATTAACCCAGGAACAATAAGGCAAGGTAATTGAGGCAATTCATGTTTGTTTTTGCTATTCTATTAATTGGTTTAGTACAATAGTGCCACCACAAATCGTCTGCTCTGGGGTCTCCTCTGACAGAAATGCGATCCTAAAGAGCATACCAAGGACTGGAAATGACTACACCGGAAATGCATACAGAGAAATGTGGGACAAGGAACGTGAAAAATCGAATCAAAGGAAAACGTCAGTAAGATCGTCTCTTCGATGTGAAAACGGTCGGAGGCTACGATTTCGCGAGGAAACAAACGGGAGAATGTTATCACAGTTGTGACACCAACATTAACATGTTAATCACAAGAGATATGGAAATTGCCTATTAAATAAATAAGAAAAGATAGAAAGATAAAACTGTGCAAAAGTTATGGTCAATGAGCGTGAACCTTCCTATTAAGGGAATGGTCTTATCGTGTTATGTCTAAATACACCTCGACTTTCTCTGTGATAGTTAACACAAGAGCTTCATATGTACGCATTTAGCTGCCAATTTAAATTGGAATATACTCTTAAAGATATTCCATGCTCACAGCTCGTCTTTGCGATCAAACTGCATGTGTCTCGTGTAACGGGAGACCAGGACTGAACAAACGAAATCGGAACTGTGTGAAAAATAATATGTTGAGTTAATTTTTAGTGATTCCTGGTTTATTTTTTCAGCTGAAACTTTGCTCCTGTACCACCTGCAACTTCAACCGTCACGAAAAAAAAAAAAATCCACGACAGCCTTTCCTCGTGGGCAAAGTTTGAAAGGAGGGGCACTCACGCGTGCCTGAGGGAGCGCGGGCGTGCGCGGGTGTCGGCGCTGCGGGAGAGGGAGCGGGCGAGGCCGCCCGGGCGAAGGCGCCCGGGCGAGGCCGTCGGCCGCACCACCATGCTGCTCAGCTCAGCACAGCTCGGATCAGCGCAGCCTGGCTCGGCTCGGCGACAAGACGCCGTCGCGTCGCCCCGCCACGGCGACAATGCCCCGCTCCGCCCCGCACCCCGGCGCGGCAAATTAAGCACCGATTTGACTTGACTTACTTCCCTCAAAAACATATTTGCAAGTAACACCGTATGGGAGAGAAGTATATTCTTTCGCATTTTCTTCAGCTCCCTACCCCACCCCAAATTTTCTTCCATGATTGGTTGACTGATGAATAAAAGTATCATCAAAGCGAGATGGTCTACACTTGAAAAATAAACATTTCCATTTTCGAGTAAAGGAAAACTTAGGTATATGTATCGGTAAGCGGGCGGCCTCGCCCGCGCCCTCTCCCGCAGCGCCGACACCCGCGCACGCCCGCGCGCCCTCAGGCACGCGTGAGTGCCCCTCCTTTCAAACTTTGCCCACGAGGAAAGGCTGTCGTGGATTTTTTTTTTTTTCGTGACGGTTGAAGTTGCAGGTGGTACAGGAGCAAAGTTTCAGCTGAAAAAATAAACCAGGAATCACTAACAATTAACTCAACATATTGATTTTATAGTGGTGCTAAGAAAAGAGCATTACACACTCGAGGCACAACTCCTACCACAATTAGCAAACGGAGAGCTCAACAAAGCAGACGCATATTGAAGGCACAGTAATGTCCAAAAGTAAAATAAGGGGCCATCTCACCTTTTTCTCAAAAGAACAAGAGAAACGGGATGAAAAACCTGATCCTCGTGGGTCCTAGCATTCGCAATTAGTTCGACTTCTAATGAAAATAAAAACTAAAACAATATTTATCTTTAAAAATAATGGAAATCCATGTAATCTGTTGCTGACATCAGAAGTTAGCATTAAACTAGTGGTGCTACAACAGCACATAATTTCTCACGTTATTTGTAACTTGCATTTTTTTCAAATTTAAAAAAATTAAATTCAACAAAAATAACACTAGCATAATTTTCAAGCGTCCGTTGATCTATTTGCAGGAAAAAATAAAGAAAATTGGGGCAATTTTAAGAAAATGTTGAGGTTTCATATAAAGTGCCCCCAAAAATTAAAATATTAGTTTCAAATTTGCAGGGCTTCAAGATCGGCCAGATCTATTAGTCGGTTTTCAATTTTAAAGAAACTCGTCTGAACGGTGTACTCGTAGGCGCTAGCGTTCACCATAGGCAGATAGACGGAGGAACGTGAAGTAATTTTCTGCTTCGTAACAATATGTATTCACTTTTTCGATACCACGGTTCATCAACGCGAGTTTTTATGTCGAAAAATTGCAGCATTATATTTTTTCTGACCTACGTAAGTGGTACGTGAGGAAGTAGTAAAGCACGTTTTTACCACGCTTCCGTACTTTGTTCATTCTTGAATATTGTTTCTGGTCTTTTTTATCAAAGGGCTGAGATTCAGAAATGTCTTCGGTTCCATAAGGGCTACTTTAGCAAACACAAAATATCAACAACCAACAACCGATAAAACACAACAGATTTCCAACAAAAACAATAGGTTTCAACGGGCGAGGTTGGAATTTGATCTGACATGAAAACCTTGACGAGGAAGGTGTTGGAAGCTTCCGTCCAGTCGGTCGGTTTTGATCCGGCCAAATCCGACTATTTTATTCATGACAAAAGGTGTAGACTGGGTGTTTTGTGGCCCCAGGATAGCAACGAGGGGTTGGACGTGTCGTGGTCAGTGGCCTTAAATTCAGGAAACTGAGAAGGGATTCGTCCCCACTCCACCAGAGGGACGTTTTCAAGAAATGGGATTCGAAACTAATCCGATGTAAAAAAATCCGTAACAAATAATACGTTAACCGACTATTTAATAATTTGTAATCCGTTTGTAATTTTAATAATATGTAATCCGCCTATTTAAAGATAATTTCTGTCATATACTTGCGATTTACATGATACTTGTGATCACTATCAATTGCTTGTGAGAGAATTATTTCAAAAAAACGAAAAATATAGAACTGCTCGGTTAGTAGTTGAGAGAGGAGAGATTCTCAACACGTCCACCACTGGTATTTATACTGCTGAGTCGGTATATACTGCAGTAGAAGACTGGCTAATCCAGATGACTGTACGAGGGGTGGGTGCGTTTTGCAGGGTTTGAGAAGTGGGCAAAGCACGGCGCCCAATTCAGGGACTTGGAAACTCTGACATATAGTGCGAGTGAATCGCATTTAATTACACGGCTCTGCAATCACTACACTGTGCAGTTAACCTTCTGGCCTCATCCATAAATATAGGCATAGTGGTGAATTATCATTGGCATTTACAATTAAATAATTATATCAACGTGAGTCATCATTGCCAACAATATTGTCATCTCATCCTTAAATACTAATTTAAAGGGCTTTTTACAGAAATAACAATAACTTACACTTTTAGCATCCTCTGTTGGAGCGCACACACCCTCAATTACCACATGCTAACTAACCCATCTCACTAACTCGTCTTTTTCATGATGAACTACAACATAGAAACCCTAAAATCTTAAATAACTTTTATGAATGAATAATTTGGAGGAAGTATAACAAACCTGTACTTAATTTCAGTGTTCTAAATGCAGTTTATTTTTCAAAAAGATGTAATTCATTCCAGATGTAAAGATTCCCACTTAACTGATCTGTTGGGGATAGTCCCTGCATGTGTGAGAGAGAACATTCATGCAATATTAAAAAACTCAAGTAATGTGAAAATGAATAATTTAATGACTCTTAATGTAATGAACACTTTTTACAATACGGAATTAACAATTCAGTTTTTTTTGTGTTTAATTTATTTAACAAAACATGTTATCATCATTGTGAAGGGTATTTCTCATAGAAAACAGACTTGTCACTGGACATTCTGGCACCATGCACACCAATCTGCTGTCAAACCTACAAATAAAACCATAAATTAACCAGAATTTCTTCCCCACCTAACTCAAAACTAAAGTTTTGTCTTCGTTTCTAATTTCTACACAGCTATTTAGAACAAAGTATAGTACCAAAATACATCAAATTTGATTCTCCTAGGAAAGGGATAAAAATATCTCTTAAGGTCACTGAAAATGTCCTTAAGAAGCCTTCAAGAAGGTAAACTTTTAATTCCTTTTGAAGTTTACACAGTAATAATATTTCTCCACGTTTTGTGATTATTTTTATCTGACTGTTCTAAAATGTAAAACATATTTACATGTTTAAAAATAATTATGAAAATATTGGGAATGCATAGCATACTGAAATTTTTCCTCTTATATGCCTACTTTTGGAAAAGGTCATGCTAGCAATCAAAATTAATAACTACTCATACTTGTAAAAAAATTATGACATAATTTAATGACCTAAATAGTATTATAGAAATCCTAGCTTTAGTATTGGAAATAGAGGTTTGAATAACATTGGAACATTTCAGATGATTCACAGAAACAGAACTATACCATATTTATAAATGCTCTTTCATCTATTGAAATAAAAAATGTTAGGAAAAAATTGTTTCCACACAATGTTTATATTTTATGCAAGATCTAATGTTGTCAACTGTGCAGCACTTGTATTTGTGCCTGTTTGGTTTGATGCATTTTTTTCAATAAAAACTAAGAATTTCCAGGTGAAAGTATCATGTTGATCTATTTGAAATTAAAATTTGTCAATGTAGGAAATTTCCTAAAATTGGATAATCAATTGGAAGTTTTTGTATGACAGATATACAATATTTACAGATCTAGAATCAATAAATAACACAAAACCATATTTCACAAACGCAAATTTTAGAAAGTTGTCTAAGAAATAAGTATCTTAGGGATATGAAATAATCTGTGTGTGTGTGCGTGTTCCACCATTCAAAGTATGAGACAAACTGTTGCGTCCCCATCCTCCTCCTGCTATGTAAAATAATTTGCAAAAGAAATAAGCTCACATTTAATGCACAACAATTTTTGTCCATATATTTCTAATTGCAGTCAATTTCATAACCAAAAGGTTAATGATAATGATTGATGAGACAACAAAAGCATGAGTAGCCTAACTGAATCGCTAACAGTTGACACTTGTTGCAGCCATTGCTGTTAGATGATCGTTCTCATGACCTTAATTATTGAAGAAATGAATGAAACATTTTCAAGAAGACCAGAATTTACATCTGAAGCAGCAAGAAAAAAACATGTGCATCCAGTTCTTAATTCAAAAGAGGCTCAGAACCTTTAGACATGGCCATTTTAACAGCTTTTTGGCCCCTGGTTCTACGTTAATTTGGGGGATCCCCTATTTCACCCCCATTGATCCCCCCCCCCCCCAATTTTAAGTCACATTTTGTTAAAAAGAAACTAAACTTCTCATCACTGAGTAATATTATCACATCAATCACCAACATTCCATATTATTATCCAATGATGCATGACACATCACTCCATATCCCAATTTTTTGTGTATAGATTAATCATACATTACTTTTTTTAAATAATTTTTGGAAAATTTAGAATTAAATAATTTGTTAAGAACTATTGAAGGCCCTGGGCCTTAGCCCATGTATTAATAAGGGCCTGCCTCAAGAAGTCAGAATCTGAGCACATAAAATTAGTCATTTAATACATTAATAAATAAAATGCAGTTTTTCAATGTTGCTGTTACAATGAAAACTTTTGGCTTTCTAGATTTGTTACCAATCATACAATTAGAAGATTTTTACTTACTCTTTACTACATACTTACATAGTAAAGAAAAAGTATTGTAATGTTATGGCAAAAATCAGTGATTTCTCAACAAACACATTTTGGAGGTCCTAGTATTCAAAACCCTAGACCTATGTAGTAAATTACTTCCTCTAACTTGTTGTTTAGTGAAAATTGGTTGATGCAAAACAGTCTCTCTGTTCTCAGATTTGTCTCCAGTCATTCCTAGTGCCTAAACTGTTTAGATTTTCTCCAAAATTGATATTCCTCAATTAATCTGCGACCTCGAGTGCTGAGAATATTTTGATTTTAGGGTTAATTTTACATAAATCCTCAACATTTTCTTTTGATATAGCTCCACCTTTTTCTTTCATATAGCAAAGAATGCCTAAAAATGGTAGGTATTATTTTCGTGTTGAAGTTCCATGTGTTTTTGTGTCTACAACTACAATATTGAAAATAAAGATTTTCTTCCTTAATGAAATTTATAATTTTATTTTTCTCAAATACAGTATCAAATTATTTTCAAGGTGAGAACACGGATCGCTTAAATACGAATAGGTTTAAGTTTTATTGAAATCTCAGCATTTCTGAAAATTGCAGGAATTACATACGTGAAAAAGTATGTGCTGTAGAAGCACCACTAAGATAATGAAGTTTTACTGGACCCTCCTTTATCAAATAGCTAGTAATAAACGTTCAAAATGAAAGTCATAAAAACAGCTAAGCCTTGGTCATTATGCCACTTCATTAGTATGACATTATGCTATGTTATCATTAGTATGTAAGCAGTTCAAAATTTCATATTACAGTACTCAATATCTTGAAATCTAAGAATATCATAGTACATAGTCTAAAATAGCCTAAACTACCCATAAAATGTTTGTGTTATGAACGGAAGGGTATAGATTTTGATGTATGCTGAATGTTGTATGTATGTATTTATGTATGCTGATGTTGAGGCCATGACATACAAAATTAGTGCCATTCAGAGACACCAACAATATATAATTTGCCCGAATTTCCCTCATCTTGGTCAGTCAGTCTCTTCTTCCATTGGGTATATATTCAGATATGCAGAGCTGGAGGCTTGCTGGGGCTGATGTGGCTTATTTCGTAACTGCCCAAAGCCCTTAAATAATAGTGCAGGGATTCCCAATCTTTGCCTTCATTGACACCTTTTAAGAGAATGCTTGCTTCATTGATCCCCTTCATATTTATTCTATACTATACAGCATCCATAATGACAAAAAGATATGCACATAAATGCATTAAAAATAACAATTTCGTACATCAATCATCTCAGAAGTATCTGGGTTTTTCAATTATCAAAGATGCTTCGATTTTTGAGTAGCTGGGAATCTAAACTTCAATGAAATGTAATGGTTACAAAATGTTGGAGGTTTTTAAGAAATGGTCATAACATATCTCCAGTACATATTATGGAGTGTTTTCTTGCATGACAGTATTGTTGTCAAATGCTTATATATCGTTGTATATACATATACAGTAAAACCCCTCTTTTACACTTTTCAGGGGATGAATGAAAATGAAAAAAAGTGTAAAATGCATGGAAGGGTAAAATACAGGAAAGTTGAAAAAACGATAGGCTAGGCATGAGCAGGAATCTGCCATTTTCGTCAAAAAATCTCCTATTGACATGCCCTGGCAATGAAAAAGTGGATAAATCATATTCTTATAAATAGTAAATTACTTCCTCTAACATGTGATGTAAGCTTGAACACACTACGTATTGAAACAGGATTTATCCACTTTTTCAGTATCAGTTAAAGTTTTTCTGTCGAAAAATCACCGTTTTTTGCCGCAGCATTACATAACTTTCTGAGCACTAGGTATAAAACCACTGTATACAACGAAGAGAAAAAATAAAATAAATTTTAAATAAAGACGTAAAAGATGGGAAGCACTCTTCATATCAAGTTGTAAATTGCAGGAAGAGAATGCATTGTTAATAAAGACTTTTCAACAGGACCAACGAAAAATTACATACAAGGCAGGAAAACGTAAAATGAGGGAAAGTAAAAACAGGGTTTTACTGTATCTTAAGTTTTCTAATAATCCTAATTAAGAAAGATGGATACGAAAGAAGAAGAGTGAATTTGTAATTTATTACTTTACCTTTAATAATCAGAAAACAGATAATCACATTCATTAATATTTTTTTGAAATTGGATATCTTGATTATGCTGATAAGGTGCCGGTTCATAATTTGGCTACCCCCCCCCACCGGCCACTTGATCATCACTGGCGCCTTTCGAACTTTAATTCGACTCCCAGGGGGGCATATACCAATTCTGTTGGGAATCTAATTTAGAGCAAACAAATGGTGTCAAAGAGTTTCACTCAAGAGCTTCAAAGACTGTCATACTGTTTTCCAAAAAGCCACTGAGTACAATGAAAAAGGAAACTGTTTTACAAGAGGAGATTATGTTACATTAAAACCATGTAGTAATACCAGAAGAAAAGGAAAGCTTATCTAAGTAAGATAATAAAGCTATTTCACTGAAGAGATATTTTTTACAATAATAATTAAATTATTAATAAGCCTAAGGAATATAAAATACACTATTGAAGTACTATATTTTTCATGATATATCAGAGGTAATGGATGAACTTTGAGTAAGAAGTACAAGTATAAACATATTATTTTCTTTATTAATACAGTAACTTTGAATGCTGTAACATGTGGTAAGGTATGGTTTTAGTGTCTTTTCAAGAATTTATGCCAGAGAATTGAAAATTACAAGAGAGCTCAGTGAAGTGATGAGTAACAATATGCATGTGATATCTTTCCAGAGTTCACAAAACACTATGATATGAAAATTTCATGATAACAATATACAAAAAAATTTGACTACGGGAGGTTTTGAACTGTTCATGTGTAGATTTTATGTTATGGAGATAACAGCAATTTTCAAATTATTAATATTTTGTTTCCATATTTATTACATTAATTGTAGATCAGTTGGTTAAGCTTTGTTTAAAACTGCATGACTTGTTAAACAGATTGTTCTATGTACAATAGTGTCCCCAAAAAAAATTTTTTTCCCCCTCCCTTACAATATAAGCTTCACTATTAAGCAATACTACTCTTAACAATGTTGCACAATTCCCTGAGTTTTACTTGACATCCTTATAGATACCTTATTACAGTCATTACCTTCAAAGTGAAAAGTAAATTAACTTGCAGTAACTTATATCCACTTTTAAGCTAGGGTATTTGATAGAAAATCAATATTATGAGATATTTCACAACACAGTTACAATCAACAAGCAGTAGTATATAAAAATTGCTTATTAACAATGTCAGACTTTTTATTGACAATATTCATACTGAAAAAATTGAATGTTCACTATTTTATGATCAGAACACATCAGTTCAACAAGATCCACATACAAGAACAAGAAAAAAAAATCATCAAAATGTAGCACTGGCAAAAACAAGCATAAATAACACAAAGTAATAATAAACCATGCAATTTACAATTTTCAGTTTTGAATAATTAAAATCTATATTTTGCAAAATATAATGAAAATACAAAACTATTAGCATAACACAAATTTTGCACACAGTATTAAAACTACAAAATCTACAAATTTCGCTTCATTGCAAATATTAGGTAATGATTACTTTTGTAGTATGTGAACCAAGCAAATATATTGAAACAAAGTTTTCTGCAACACACAAATTCCATCCACACACAGGAAGACGAAATGATGATTTATGCTTAAAACACACAGATGACTTCACTATAAGTGACATATATGCCAAAGCAGTCCCACATGACAACACCCTTTATTCCCAACAACACTCACATTTTCAAACCAGCTTCTTTGCCTCAAAGAACTTCTTTAAGTGCCGCATCTGCCATGCACCCATGCCCAAGAGTAGGCAGGTCTGAGTGACAGACCACCACAGCACTCTTTGGTTGGTGCTCTCACTTGTCTGCCGGAATCTTTCTTCACGATACTGAAATCATTAAAGAATTTGAGATCATTTCATAAACCTAAGCACTCTAAATTAACTCATTAAATTGCAAAAATTTGGATGCAACGCATTACAAGTATCAGGAGGCCCTGATACTAAAAGACAGTTGCCAATGCCAGCCTTGAATCATTATCATAGTTTCAGAAGATACACAGATATTTTACAAATGGAAAGAAATGCTCAGACAGATACTTGGTTCAATTCAATTTAACGAAAACATTTATACTTCAGTTAATTCAAACAAATCAGTCAATTTTTCTCTCTTATCCTGTTGATGTAGTATGTCTTGCCTAGAATAGGATACGTTAAAATCTTTTATTCAATTCAGCACAAAAATTCATAATTTATTAAAATTTTATGAGTACTTGTAGTAAATTCTGAACTTTGTGAGTGTGCTCAATGTTAGTACAAATATTAGTGTTGTACAAACCATACATTTTATACCTAATTTAGAATTTTTGAAAGATATCCTAGCAAAATATTTTACAACAATTTTATTAAACAACAACATTTTTATTAAAAATTATTAAAATTTATTTAATTTTAAAAATTTTAAATAAAAGTAATTTAAAAATAAGAAATGAAAAAGTGAGTTTCTCGACGATACTTAGTGTTACAGTTCTAATAGAATAAGGGAAGGAAGACAAGAAAGAAGAAGGAAAAAGAACAAAACGCACACACACACACCAGAAAACTTACTTATTTGTGCTAATGGCAAGTAACCAGTTGCACTGGCAGGGAGGGGGGGGGGAGTGACATTACGTAATCAAACCCCAGTAAACTGTACTAATGAAAGCAAGCAGGGCAAATTTGCATTTAATAAAATTAGAAAACTTTACAATATTCTCATCTTCCATAGTGTCCCACAGTTTAGGTAGGGGTACAGAGTCAAATGCTTTTCTCACATCTACAAATACAATATGAATCTCTGTCTACCCAGATTCTTTTCTCAACAATTTGTTTTAGATGGAATATGTTATCAATACAAGATCTTTTTGCGCGAAAGCCACTCTGTTCCCCCACCTCCGTTTTAATCAGTCCCTTAATAACCGGCCACACAGTCTTCCAATTGTACTCGTTAACACTAATGCATTTATTGACAATCCATGCAAAGATGGCTAGGGCACTTGAAAGGTTAGTTTTAATTAATTCAATTAGGATACCTCCAGGTCCCACAGCAGTTCATTTTTATTCTTGATGAAAGGAATTCAAAGTAAAAAGATACCAGCTTGTTTCTTAATGAAATGAGAATAAACTGTGACCACACAAGTTTCTTAATTCCAAACTAAAAGTTGTGCAGGTGAAAGAAAGGTCTGAATAAGCCACAAGTTTAATTCTTTGTATATATTATATTAATAAGATAAAATGATCTAGTTTGAAACATAAATAAACATTATTAAAACACAAATTAGAGAGTAAGTTCTATGGTGAATGAACACTGCAAACGTTTGGGGAGTGCACGTGCGTGAGTATGCACATGTGTGTTTGTGCCACTATTGAAACAATATTTTTGCTTTCAGTTAGTTTGATGTTTTGCATTAAATAATGATACCAAGGTAGTCATTTTAACTATAATTACAGCATCAAAATAATGATACTCACCCGCTGATAGTTTTGCTCCTTGGTAATCTGCTCAACTTGATCCAGCAACTGACGTACCCTCAGCTGGATTTCAGACAACTTTTCTTTGTGGGCCACATTGGCATAATCTATTGCATGCTCACCCACTTGGATATCTAAATGCACTCGCTGTAGAATAAATTTAAATTACATAACAAACACTATAACATTTCAGTCAATTCTCAAAAAAGATGTCCAAAATAATATCAATATACAGTGACTCATGAGAAGTATATCCCCCAATAAAAATCAAACTTTGAACAGAATGAACTATTACATTTTGGAGAAAATATATTACAGAACTCTGCACTACAATTACCCTATGAGATCCTAAGTAGACTATGATATAATAGTGTATTCTTCAATGAGCGCATAATGATGGCTATTATTTACGAATTGATGTTTACAACATGGGCTACAAATAAGCAAGTGTTGTAATTTCTAAGAGTGAATATATAGTCATTACATGCAAGTAGAAGACTATACTTTCTTTAAGACCTTTAAATATTTAGATTGGATTTTGAACAGATTTTGTTTTATTTGAAACTCAAGTATTAGAATTACCTACATTAAACAATGTATGTAAATAGTGCTTCTTAATATTGAGCAAATCTTCCATAAACTAGAGGGTTTACACTGTTTTATTTTTGTAAAGTAAGCCAAGAAAATGGTCCCAGTGAAAGAATTCACTCTATTACTCTTTCCCCACAATATAAATGTTGTATTTAATTGTTCTTAATACTTCCTTAATTTTTCTTGCTATAATTGTAGAGCTGTTAAATTCTTATTTCCTGAATTATTGGTAGAGTTCCAATTTCACTGTCACTGACTTCAAGATTAATTTTCTGTTGAATGATCAATGTGAAATGTAAAGAGAAATAAGAGTACAGCAATGACTAGGATACCCACATGAAACTGCAAAATCGTTCGCTTCTCTACTGCGGTTCAAAAGCAGCATCTATTGCAAAGAGATGGCCATTCTACCCATAGATTCTAAACATTCTAGGAATATGATTGGTCAACAAACATGGATTCTGAACTGAAGTCATTTTATAGCCACAAATGAACTTGAGTTGAGCTGACATTACAGGTACAGGTCTTTTTAAGCGGTACTCCCATCGCTTTGGATTGTATTCCTCTCAACGGGACACAACATAAAAAATGCCAATATAGACTGTAGAAAAGGGAAGATAAGGCCCAAGGGCAGTATTTATTTTGCTCAAAAAGTTATAAAGGCAGGGAAAAGTGAGATTATTCTTTAGTGTCTAAAATACAGCACTTTGATACATTCAATAACATAAATACAACTTAAATATATTTAAGTTGCAATTTAGGTCATGTTTAAGACGAGAATGCACACCTTGTCAAATTTCTCTTTACTTACCAGCTGCGATCCACTGAACCAGCTTGAACTATTTGAATACAAGCAGATGACGTGCTCACCAGGAGTCTGCGAAGTGAATGAAATTCTGCCTTCCGAACTGTACACCTGAGTGACGAGAAAGAGATTCTTTATTTGTTTTTAGGTCCTATAGCCATAAGGCCACAAACCTTCAGAAAATTCAAATCACTAAATACAATTATATTATTCAAATAATTTAAAAAATTAGCTGTAACTTATGAATATTGAACACTTTGCAATAAAGCATAAACTTTCAGAAGGCACCCAAAACAGAAATTTCACAAAATAAATTGAAAAAAAGATTCAAAACAAGGTGTACATGAAATGCCTGATAATTGCAATACTGTAATACAAGAAATAGAATATCACATTACTCTAAATAAAAACATTTATTACAGCACTAAAATGGTTAAAGCATTTATGTATTATATGTCAAAAAAACAGATACAATATTACAAACATGATGTAAATAATAGGCTGAAAAAATATGAAGCCATATGTAACATGAGTCTGAAAGTGCATTTCCTTCACTCCCATTTAGATTGCTTTCCAGGAAACCTGAGAGCAGTGTGAAGAATATGGAGAGAAGTTTCAACCAAGATATTAAGGACAATTAAAGCAATACCAGGGGCAATGGAATACATCCATGATGGCTGACTACTGTAGGTTATTGCAACAAGATGATTCTGCTGGAGTGTACATGAAAATAAGTGACACAAGAAACTTTTAGTCTAAGTGACAAAATTATTCTAGTTACATATGAGAGTTTTATTGACAGTTCATGCTCATGTGCATGAACAGAAACAATAAATTTAATGCCTTTTTTCTTTGACTTTTATTAGTTACCATATGCCTTAAGCTAATCTGTTTAATTTTCATTTTTTTTATTACAAAAGAAATCTATAACGAAACTTGTATTTTATTGTATTTAATTTTGTATAGTATTTGTATTTAATTAAAGAGACAGGTATTTCTTTGGAGAAGTATGATTGATGAACTGGATAAGAAAGGAAGAGAAAGTTATTATTGGCATAAATTTCAAATAAACAAAATTATACAAATGTTAATTTTACATAAGACTAAAAGGGAGTAATAAAAGCCTTAAATTAACATTATAATAAACTTCAATATCGACATTTAAATCAATAACAGTCCCAAAACAATTTATCTATACAGTATTAAATATATAATTCCAACATGTACATACCCTTGAGAGTATTGGTTTGTCATCAGGATCCCGAGCCTCTACATGCATACCAATTCCAGGACTAGAGGGCATAAATCCTCCACTTCGAGGATCAAACAATTCCACTTTGTAATTGACTGTAAATTAACACTATGTTACATAGCACATATTGAAAATAGTATAACATTACCAAACAAGGTGAGAATAAAAATACACTTGAAATTTTGAATGTCAATTAACAAATTACCCTCAGATCTAAAAAGCCATTAATATCAATGAACGTCCAAAATGCCTTAAAATGTGTAAATCAAGAAAAAACAAGGCTAATTCTCAGTTCTGTTTACCTTCTACATTTTGTACAATAAAAAGGAACTGAAAAAATCAAGTTTATACCATACCAAATTTAAAAGATGCTGGATGTGTTAGACTAAAGAAACTGGGGATTCTCTCAAATTATACGCCAATTTCATGACTTTTCATGATTTCCAAATATGTTTATGGTTGATACCGTTCCCAGAGTGTTTCACTTTCAGGGTAGAAATTTCATATATCCACGCGTTGGGACACAAGCGTTCAGCCTGCGACCGCATACTGCTAGCAGTGCATTTGAACACGATTTATTGGAATCTATTGAAGTTAAATATAAATGTCACTAACCTATAACTGTCGTCTCATCTGGTATTTCTTCTATGAAGCATTTTCGTTCTGCTTCCGCAATGTGAAAATACAAACCATACGTATACTCATTGAGCAGCACCGATAAGGCAAAACACAACGTGAAAAGCAGCCTAATCATTTTGCCATGCAAAAGTAATTTACTTTCCACAATATGTTGTGATACACGTCACATCACCACCCTGACCGGAAGTTGCTGAAAGTTGACTGCAGCGCCACGACACTCAATTCAGGAACAACATGCTCTTGTTTTTAATTATGTGAAGAGAGAAAACTGGATAGTGGTGGTGTCTGCCGTATGTTTCAAGAACTATGTACTTGTCCTCCTATTAAACCCATTTTACTAGAATTGCAGTAGGAAGATTATAAGGGCAGTTTGATAAAAATGCTTTACGTATGTAATGCAATGCACTTGTAATTATAATAGTTATTGGGTCTTATTATCTCTTATCGTTCCTACTTTCACGAACTGACTCCTGACATTGCGAGATCGGTGAACGAAATCGAAGAACGAGAGGCGAGAACGAGAGCATTCTGCTTCATATTTCAAATGGGAATAACCAGCGCCGTCTTTAGAAATGACACTGGAATAACGCGTCTTCGTTAAAAAAGTAACTTGTGATGGAATGCGTTGGAAATTATGTTTTTTCCAGACTCGGAGAAGGTATATGTCAATCGCATAGGTCTAAGGTAATGAATGTGAGGGAAACTAATTATAGAAATATTCGGGAAACATGTACGAGAGAACGTGTGAGAAAAAGTGGATAAACTAGTGGAGAAGGTGCAGGGAAACTGGCAGAAAACTTACGAGAAATATATAAGGGAACATGCAGGGATACGTGCAGGATGCATATTTCTTACACAATGAGAGCCTTTTGAAATTTCTGAGGCATATTAGGATATTAAGCCTTTCTGAGAATCCCCACTCTGCAGAATGTATGGATGGTCAGAAACTAGCAGAAAACCGAAATTAACGAGTAGGTAAAATTAAATTTATAAGTTAACAGACGCATCATGACGGCCAACATAGGTTCTGTTCACACTGGTCCAGCAAGTAGATACTATTTGCTTCGCCAAACGAGCAGCAGAATTGATTTGATAATAATTGATATCTAAATAAACAATCCGTTTAATCATGTCGCATCTAGCGAAATTAGGGCTCAAGAAAGTGTGTCAATAATACCTATAAACACACTTAATAATTTTACCCGTTATGGCTAATGTCGATTTCTTATCTGCAGACTAAGCAACAATCAAAAATGCTTATACCTTAAAAATGTAAGAATTATAAGCAACTGCCACCCAGGCTCATTTCTGCAAGCCTTCTTCATAGAGCTTGGAATACTACCATTGCATTAACTATTCTTTTATGAATAAATTGTTTTGTCAACAATTTCTCGAGAGTGGGCATATTTTCATGCAATACAGATTTCTCAAAACACGCGTCGTAGATATCGTATTCACCAATTGTCAATATCAAGAGCTCACTATAAGAACTCCAGATACTATAGATTTCACGTTTCTACTCATTTCTTATCACTCACCCGAAATACCCCCTCCCCCCCCAGTTTCTCCGTGTGTTCCCCTCGTATTCCTTCGTTTGCTCACTACGTGTACCCTTGCCATATTTTTCCTCGCCTATCCTTTCACAGCATGTTCCCTCGCGTATTCATTACAAAATATCTCACATTTTTACCACATGTTTCTGTCATGTCACCATATGATTCCCAACATTTTTTTTTCACTGGTTCATCACAGATTTCCAAATGTTCCTCCAAATGTATCGCAAGTGTCCCCCAATACATCCTCCGCAATTGTTTTCCGAAGTGTTCTCCCAAATGTTCCCCAAATGTACGCTATGTTTATAAGTGCGTATGTATGTGATTATAAGAGTATATAAGTTTGTGAGTTTATAAGTGCATTTTTGCATCTAAATATAAAGCAAGAGAAGGAGAAGCGCTTCGAACATTGAAACTTTGAAGTTTAAGTACAGTATAAATAATGAAACAATTTACAGGACATGTAAATAACACAGGTCAACCAAAATTTGAAATTTCTGAAAAATAAGAAATAAAACTGTGTGTCGTTTACTATGTATCACGCCTTGATTCCAAATTTGTGCTTATAATTTCTCGAGCACGTACATTTTTGTGATACGGTGGTTTTAATATTACGAAGGTGAGAATTATGCCCCAAAATAAGAACTTACCAAGTCAACAATTAAAAATCACTAGAAATGAAAATACTTGATCTATACTAAGTGTCACGCCCTGATTCCAAATATGTGCTTAGATGATTTTCTCTAAGAAGTTTCTGAGATAGGACGGTTTTCATATGGTGACAATGTGAATCTCCAACGACAAAGCCTGGAAAACAGTGTTCTCAATGATCCTTTCTTTGGTCTCGACATGATATTTCTCTCTCTTCCTGTAAAACTTGGATTCAATGTTTAGAGAAGACGGTAGGCAAGGCAAACTGTGGGGCATTTCAGTTTCTCTGTGAAAAAAAATTCCAAAAATCAGCGCAGCAGAAATATAGGATGGAATCTTTTCAAATACAAGAGATTTTGAAAGATGATAATCGATGACTCTCGAACAAGATGCTGGACAAGTTTTCGGGGTAGGTGTGATTATTTCCTAGCGAGAAACAAATCTTCAGATTTTATTAATGGAATCAAGAGTCTTTTGCGTACATTTCAAGAACTGGGCTGTAGAATGTCACTTGTTACACTTTCTACTGTAACGTATTAGCCAGCGTGCCTCGTGGCATTTATTTGGGGACGCTTGGCAGAGGATTAGCCTCGCCACAGGAAGAAGGGTTTTTCCGTAAAAGGGCAAAGAACGCGAAACGGGAGACACAAGGCTTTGGGAGTATCCGGCTTAGTAGAAACTTTTCACTGTCTGTTAACCAAGCGAGGGGGTGGGCTGACGTAGTAGGTCACGTGCCTCGCTATATAAACAGGCTGTTACAGAGCCAGTGGGTGGGTTCTGGAGACAGTGGGAGAAACCTCGTCCGTGTTGCACAAAAACTTGGCGCGCACGAACCGGTGCATATGCGAGCCAGGCTCGCGAGGCTCGAGTCCACTAGTTGACGAAGCCTGCGACTTTATGTCTTGGGTGACTGCGGTCACGGGGGAGCGATGCTGTGTGCGTGCTCCGAGGTGAAAGTGGTTGAGTGCACATGATTCACGCCGATTCTCAATCGGATAAGATCGCTCCTGGCGATCGAGGCAAACAGCCGTTGGCGCGCAGAACGGACTTTGTGTCCAGCGTGACATCCGGCCACGGAAGCTAGGCTTTGTGCGCGCTTCAAAAAGTAGGAGTGGCGGAATGCCACAATCAAAACCATCTTCAATCATGGTTTGATCGCTCCGCGATCAGGGGATAGTCTATCAGAGCTAGGGTGTAAGTAGATTTTTAGTAGTGTATATTGTTTTGTTTTTCTTTGTTAATAAAATAAATTGCTCATTACGAAGGCTCTCGGTGTCTGTGTCGCTGAGTGAGTATCCATGACGTCAACTACACTCACATTTAGACTTTCGTTCCTTAATATTCTCAATGTGACATTGAGGAAGGGGCAAGGTTTCCACCCAAAACATCGGAACAAAGAAGCAACACGCTACCAGATTTCTGGGGTGGACTCCATGATGGCGGATCCATGATGAAATGACTCCAGATTTCGGTGATGTTACACGAGAAGATCTTGAAGAGTTTTCACAAGATACATCACATTTCTAAGATAAGCTTTACTAATAGCAATTGTAGAAAATGGAATATCGCGGAATTTTTTTGTAAAAATGGCGGTCGTCGCTATTGTGAAAAGTATGTGTGAGTGATCGGCGCATATCTGTGAATGCTAATCTTAATCTGTGTTAAAAAACTAGTTTAAGAAAAATATGCTTATATTTCTGTTTAATACAACTTTAATTTTGTAGACCTGTGTAATTAATTAAGTTAGGAAGTTACGACAAAGTAGATTTAGGTTAGTTCTGTAAGTATCTAATTTGTAAGCTAGGCCGAAGTTTTCAGTCGTAAATAGCATTTAAATTAAATGATTGAAAAGTTGTTCTCCCAAAAACGTCCCTAATTATGACAGCATGTTTTTACATCCTAATTCTTGTGCTTATACTGGGGAAATACAATATGAACACTCATTAATCTTTCATGCAAGTAAAAAAATAAAATCGGCCAAAAATATCGGCAAAAAACATCGGGCACAAAAAACGGAAGGATATTCATATGTTACTTCCGGTTGAGGAAGAAGATTGGTCGGTCCCCATTTCACCAAGCAGCCAGTAGTCTCAGGATCGACGGTAATCACAAACAATAGCTGAAAAACTTATCACAATTTAAGAAGTTCTTTATACAATTAGTTTTGTTAAAGTTAAAGCTCTTATTGCATGAGTACGTGTTCTACCGAAAATGAGCAACGCGACGTTAGGAAGAGTTTTAAAATGTTGTACGAACTGCAATTAGTACATTCATAAACGAGTTACATTCGCTATTGTCTTGTGTATAAACAGCATTATAAATTTATAAGAGAGAATCAAACTGAAATCAAACTTAATTTTAGGAAACAACGTTCTTGTGGCGTCTCGGGTCATGTGACATCTGTGCGAGAAACCGTCAGTCTCCCCATTAGTGTCGTTGTGCTATTATTTCAATTAAAATGTCCCCATTCCCTGCCTGAGAGTATGGCAATAATATTTTGGCGGAAAATCTTATAGCTTCCAGACTTTTAGACTACAAAAAATAATTTACGAATAATAGCAAAATCCATTCCACATAATTCTTGTAAAGAGCCTCTCTTTATATAATCTATATATTTTACCATATACCTTTGTCTCTTGATTACCACCAGAATCCAGTAAGTTTGTCAAAAATGACTTACTTAAGGCGTGGGAAATATATTCTTCCAGCAAAAACGCCTGATGTCTTATACCTTCAACACTCGACGTAGTAATCATATTCATCAGGGCGAGCAGTTATAACAGATCGCTTCAAAAAAATTGCACCATACAATACATGTATATTATTCTGTATTTTTACACCATCCTTGCCACGCATGACAATTAAACGCATTAAATCGTAAACAAAAGTATTGACACAAGTAAAATCTCTTCTACTGCACAACTGTCATATTCAACTTAGACCACTATAACCGCGAGCATGCCAAAGGAATTGTTATTATCATTATTATTATATATTTATTATTATCCTTATTATTATTACTATTATTATTATTATTGTTATCTTACACTATTCACCCCAAGTATCTACTTGGTCGGTATTCAACCAACACGCAGGAGTGATGACCAGGGGTGTGTGGATTGCTTTACTGAAGGTTCAGATGGCTCTCTGACAAATAGCGCATGTATTCAAACATTACAGACTTTGCATATATATACATTCCGGGCCATCAAGTGAAGACACTCCAGTGCGCCGAAGTGCTCATATTCCGAGGGATTCACTCCGTAGCTGATATCATCATTATATGGTGATACCAGTTGCACTTTACTGATAGTTCCACCACTGAGTTGGCGACTTCATGCGAATCTATATTACTGCTGGATCTTCTCTTTGATATTTCCCGATATGTTGGTGGCGCGTATTGCGGTTTGGTGATTCCTACTATATCGATAAGGCAAAACCTGCGCTGGATGCTGCGTTTCTATCCAATGTACGTTCATATCGCGGTCTATTGCCGACCGACATGTCTGTCAGTTGATGACATGGAGCGATCCCAGTAGAATGTGCGCACTACGTTCAAGCACATTCTGAGGGCCATACATATTTATATTACGGCACGGGAATGGCGAGTAAGCCCCGTTCTCAATGGTACAATAAATTGGTGGACCCCCTCTTCGACACTTTCATCAAATACCTCTTTTTCTGTATTCCCAACTGTGCGTAGTCTGCTACATTCCAACTTGTTCACCCGTGTTGCTGATAGTTCGCTTGCAGGCCTTCCAATTTCTACACGAGTCGCAATGAATAGGGTAGAGAATCTCTCAGAATGTGTTTTCTGTAGTTCAATGTTGGCTACCGCTTGGTCCAACTGGATAGCTATACATGAAGGCTTCTGTCTCGCGGCGAAAGAGATCCCCCCGTGCTGGCTAGTCATGCGCTACTGCCCGACGCAGAGATGTCGGACCTTCTGGTTGTTATCTCAGCTCGTGAGGGTCACCTTCCATGTGCATGCCTTCCGCTTTCCAGAAGGATCTTCTCGTTCCGTTGGTCAATGATTAGATTGAACAGGCGATCAAGCTTTTCAAGTTCATCATCAGCCATCATCACTCCTTTCTTCCTTACTTCTTCATTCTTCTCTTCTTCTTCTTCTTCTTCTTCTATCTTATTATTATTATTATTATTATTATTATTATTATTATTTGCGTATCGGCCATTTCTGACCAAGCTACACGTTCTCTTCCGATATTCAGACATATTCTATCTCGGAGAGAGATTAAAGTATATCATAGGGATCAGCTTTTCGGTTGTATCCCTTGGTAAGGCAAGGTTGGTAAGTCTTCAGTTATGAATGATGATGTGATAGGATGATGATGAGAGGTGATGGTAACCTTTTTGAACCATCCCAGCATTTGCCTGTATGAGCGATGGAACCCACAAAAATCCCGATCAGGATCTGGGATCGAACCCACGCCTCCGACTACGAATTCAGCGCGCTATGCACAGAGCCACTTCGGTTATTGTTATTGTTATTATTATTTTGTGCGCAGTCGCAGAGCGTAGCAACTTACCAGTCTCTTGAACGCCAAGCCGCCCTCCAAGGTGCGCGTTGCCAGAGAAGGAAGATGAAGGGGTCAGGGCAATGAAATAGAGGAGTCATTTAGACGTCGATATTTATAATTGCGCATTATTTACAAACAACATATTATGTACAGCGTAGGTTAACAAGGAAATATCTTACAAAATGGGCTAATAGCTCAAAACTGCAGTGATAAGGAAGCATCAACGCCTCCAACTCACTGAATAGCTCGTTCTTCTCCACTTCACTACTGCTGGCCAAAATTAACAAATGGAACATTAAAATACATTTAGGGAAAATATAAAAAGAGCAGCAGTCATTTCACATGCAATATTGATAGCTTAGAGGTTTTGTAGAACGGGTCAAAGAACTGAATTCTATTTTTGGTAGAACTGTCCTTAATAAATACGTCCAGACTGATAAATAAGGGTTGGATCAAAGAGACCGCGTTTCTTCACAACTAAATTGATTAAAAAAGTCAAATTAAAACGAGACAACTATATAATGCAATACTAAAATACTTAAACTTAAGTTATTTTAGAATTACATACTTTTTTTAAACAAATATTAAATTTAGAAGCATAATGAATGTTCGTAACAGTTACAAATGGTTTCTTTAATATAAATCTTAGTTTCTCGTAATTTCCAGGCTCGTTATTGTTTTCTATTTCCTAAGTCCCAAATTGCGTAAAAATTTTGTTTCTGGCCATGATGCGCGCTGATTTCATCTTTTCTCGGCGCTCATTTTCTTCTGAGTAACTGCGATGTAGGAGGTTAAAAATTAAATTGTGAAAGAATAAGACTCCACGGTACACGCCAGATATTGAGGAAAATTGAAGTATTTGTGGCTAATTACGTCAGCCATTTACAAAGCAAAATATTTTAAAATACTAAGAATTATGTCTGAACCGTGGAAGCTAAAGGAACCAAATTTGCTCCAAAATGTGTTACTTCCAATTTCTTACATCTCTTAATACGATTATCGAATTATGAACGTATAATGGAAAATGTCAATGTTTACAATCAGAGAGAAAAAATGGGGAATTCAAATCATGTTTTGAAGATTAAACTTTTGAGAGGCAATTATTTTCCTTTACTCTGTTTTGAACATTGGCCATTAAACTTTCAGGGTAAATGTACCTTCGGCCCGAAAATATTTTAAAAGGTGCATTTGGTTGTTGTTGAACAGTGCGCAGTCAACTGTCCACCAATTGTTTGCCAATGAAGTTCGTCCCCAAACCGGCGTTTCTTTTTTCAAGTTCGAATACGGTCCATTAAGAAGCCAATTATGCAAGAAAAAAATTGAGATGACAAAATTACTTACATGTTTGTATAATTTCGTTTAAAGAAGTTAATAATAACATTCAAAAAGTTTCGTTCATAGATTAATTATTATTATTCATGATTAGGAAATTGGTCATTATTAGGCTTACTTACAGATTAATACAAAAGAAATTTAAAGAACGCGTTTAGGGGCGTAGCTTATTGGTTCCGTGATCTTTTTTATTCTTAAGTGCAGAGGTTCAGAGAATCCACCATAGTTTAACTCTATTTTCGACAAGTGTGAAATTTGAAGCAAACTATTAACAGTAAATCATGTATTACATCTTGATCAACCAAAGAAGATTTTCAATAATTTCAATGCTAAGTGAAGACATTGATTGGCTCACTAACTATATTGTTTGGGAAGCATTTGAAATTAATAATATATATTATTGTTAGTAAATTGAATGGATAAGGTATAATTATTAACATCACTCTGAACCGAAATTTGATCTTTAAAAATAATTTACAATTTTAAGAGTTTGTAAAACATTTAAAGAATACATTGTTTATTAAATGTGGATTTTACTCCATTCTTCAACATCGAATTCTTTTCCCTGAACAACCTCTAAGATTGTCCATGTGATTCGCGGAATGACACAAATAGTCGATGTTCGTTGAACAGAGTTAACGCGGGATGTCAAATTTCTCCTCGAGTCACAATTTTAAAGCAATCACTGGCTCTGATGACAAAGCTAAGAACACCTTCGATTATCATATCGTTATTATAATATCATTCATTCTTTATCCACTAGAAGATCAAAGATATAGGTTCGGAGGGAAGCAGAGAAAGAAGAACTGAACTTGGGAGATACAAAAAACAAAGGTCTTCTAATTTATGAAAAACGTTAACCATTGGAGGTTTATTCAAAATTTCTTGAGGAAGTTCCTAAAGAGAGCCAACAAAATTTTGTAATTTTCATTTTGATCATTTACACCTTTTAATATGTATCAAGAAATCATGTGAAAGTTCAAACGGGAGATTCATGCCTACAGTCATCTTTAACTTCGTTTGTCCCAAGAATTGCTCGTGAATGGTTTAATTTGACATCCCTACATTGAACGACATTTGTCTTTAAGTGGGCCCACATCTCGGACTGTTCTCTTTGTAGCACTGCACGATGAAATGCTTATTTGAAAATACGTAAAGTGGTAAGTGTTGGTGCAATCAAGGGCTTTCGTCGCATGCACTCGCAGTGTATGTACAGCGTTCACGTATAAGAGCAAGCAGATACCACACAGCATGGCGGGGAGCTTGAGGATCAGCAATAGGAAACACTTCGGTCGGGCGTTGAGAGCAGCAACATAAGCGTGGATGCACATTTCCATTCTGCTTAACTCACACGCTCGCTAATTCACTCTCATTTGTCGTAACTTATCATAATATTACTTGAAATTTCGAAACGAGTGTAAACAAACTTTTTATGAAAACAAAGAACCCAAAATCATCTTCCATGGATATCTAAATCGCATGCTAGTATTCAGAGCAGCGATCGTGGAGAATGTCACTACTCTCTCGCGACGTGTATGAGCTTCAAAGCTGCATTGGTCACCTCGGTGACTGCCTATCACTGGTCTTCATGCCGAGAACGAATTATTGCAGAGTGTTTGCAGCCGACGCGACGGCGCGAGCAGCGAATTTTTTTCTTCTCGCTGCCAATCAGCTCCAGATCCCGATCACTCCCGAGATGGGCGACGCTAGCGGACGAAGCGATGGAGCAGCGCTGATTCTCCGTCGGCGTGGCGGCGCACCAGCGCTGCTCACTCGAGTTCGTGATTCGCACGCCGCGGCGCTGCTGGCGTCGAGCTGCGCTGGCGTCGGCGGCGCTCAGACTTCGCTGCGCATGCAGGTGCCCAGGGCCTCCTGCGACAATTCGTCCAGCGTCCCGTCGGAACCTGCAACACACCCACGCCGCACTTCAGCACCTCGCGCTGCGACATCTCCCAGGTAGAGATAGATTACTGTAAGAATGGACCGCTTTGGCAGCTACTGCGTGGCTACTGCCGGCAACATAACTGCAGGTTATGTGCTCAGTTCGTCTATGCGTTCGGTTGCAGCTGTCTCACTTGTAAATGTACTTCCTTCAAAGCCACCGACCGACATGACTTCCATGTGTTTTTCGACGTGTCAAACTGGTCTCTTCTTAGAGTAATTTCTCTATATTATTTGATCACGTTTTCTTGAGCCCTCATTTCGCTAGGTGTGAAAGGAATGGGGAAGTTGGTTATTTTAATGACAGTACAAATATATAAAATCTCTAGTTCGTTTTTCAATCCAAATCATTTTCTATTACACTGAAGCGAACATTTCCTATTATCAGAGTTTGTCTACAACGCTTGTTGCTATCATTTTTCTTATTTCAAATAATGTTAGTAAACGAGCGGAGGTAGGTATTCCTTGACTCAAGAAAACGTGGCGAATAAGTACAGAGCGTAGCGCAACGTCAGCGGCCGTTAAAATCCTTTCACCCATGTAGTCCCGCCAGGCGGAATTCCGGAATTGAGGTGAAATGATATCAATCAAAGACATTGTTGAGAATTTTGTATATTATCGTTAGTTTTTGTGAGATCGATGGCTCTTAACTCACCGACAATATTGCACAGTTTAAATGGACATAAAATGACGGAACCGGCGGCAAAAAATGCGCTACTCTATTTCTAGGAACTGTAAGCACTTCAGCAGAGTAGCGCAGAAATGGGCAGGGACGTTAACTATAGACATCTGCAAAATAGACCCTCCAAATTGTTTCAAGTTTTACTACTTAATAATCATCAAATACAAGTACTTAATATTTTATTTCCAGAATACTACATAGAAAGGCAAATTTTTTGCTTTTTTTGTGACCTACAATATGGTGTTGAAGACTTTGGGTAGTAAAACAACATGCCCCATAATGTTATACGTTCAACAAGGTATGATCAACGATGTTCAACGTTCTACAAAAGTACGTAGTATACAAGAATCGTCATTTTTTCCTCATTTCCCCTTCTTGTAATTTCATTTCATAAATACATAATTTTTGAATTGAGTATACAAAACACAAATTAGAAACGTTTAACACAAGAAGAAATGAATAACAGATAAGAATTGGATAAGAACAAAAATCTGAGCACATTTCCCGTTGCAAATAGTTTCTATTACACAGAAGCGAGTATTAAATTGTTGTAAAAGTTTGACAAAATGTTCGTTGCTACCTTCATTCATAGTTCAAGTTAATACAGTAAAAGAGCGGTAGTTGGAATTTCGGTAATAAAGAAAACATCCGCAGATTTACTTGTACTAACTCCCCCATACGTCTCATGTAGTCACTCTTTTTGACATTAAATAAATAAATAAACATTGACAATAAACGAAAACTTTTAGGATATTTGAAAGATACATTTTGCTTCGCAAGTACTCCTAGGTTAAACATTTTTGGTGTTATCTACGAGTACACGATTCTATTCCAGGAAATACAGCTATCCTTAGTTTCCATGTGTAATATTTAAAAAAAGGAACGCAAAAGAGCATATTATTTCGGAGTTCCCTCGATTATCCCTTTTGCTCACGAAAGTGCCTTATCGCGTGGATTTTTTTCTTTTACAGTCCAGAACATTCGGCCTCGTATTTTGTGGCTTAGAAAGGACCAAAAACAATTGCTTTTTCTACACGTTCATCTAGAGTTACACAGCTAAAATTGTCACTTGTTTTTGGTGATTTGAACTTTGCAGTAAAATGTCGAAGCAATTCGGAGTGTCCTATTCCGCGAATATTACATGTCAGTTTCATCATTATCTCTCAAGCAGTTGTACGGTTCTTTGTGCAGTGTTTGTTTCAAATACAATACTTTTCTGATTATTGGAACTTTTAATGTTTTTCATCATAAATTCAGACCATTATGACCTTTGATTAACTATCTTAGAAGTAAGGTTAATTTATATTACAATCTCGTTGGTGTGGTAATGGGATATTAGTAGAAACTCGTTCATTATTCTTTGTAACTTATTACTCATACGTAAATACACTTCGTAAGGTTAAGAAAAGAAAACAATTATTAAGGTAGAAGTGGGTTTATAATAAATTTTACTCACTGGGATCAGATAATTCCTTGAAGTCGCTGTGCCGAATGGTCAAGAGGACGACATAGAATTAGGACCCTTGAGCGTGCGTAACTTTATCCAATTCTCTGCCATGATTTATCAATTCCAACTTGCCTTACACGCGCGATGAATATATTCAATACCACGATGAGACTAATGTGACCGGGAAAGTATCAAGTATCACGATTTTACATCAACCAAAGTTAGTACATAAAGAACACTGCGAGAGTTGTACTAGCATTATTATTCTAGTAAGAATTTCAGTATAGTCGACACGAAACTGAAATCTATTGTCGTCAAACTCGACTGAACAGTTATATTAACTAACAATTAATATTGGCCACATTTTTAATCATTTGTAAACAGTTATTTCTATTTTTAATGAAAATGTGTGAAATGTAAACATAAATTTTATTGGAATATGGCAAATGTAGGAAAGTTTTTTCAAGTGCAGAAATTTACGTCGCATGAATATATCGGGCGAGAGAGGCTAAGCATACACGTAAGATCTACCAGTTTGGCGACAAACTACCACAGGAAGACCAACAAGGGCTCTGTGAAGTAATAGAATCGTAGCATTTTCAGGAGGAGGCATTATATGCTGTTGAAATAAACAAACACATCTCCGACGAAGAGTTATTGCATGGAAATTTTATTTGCAACTTGGATCTCTAATTAAAGCAATACATTACTAGATTTCTGCCTTTAATGTGTGAATACTGTTCTACTTTAGACGCATTTATTGTTATCACTATAACCTTGCGTTGGAAAAGAGAAGAATTGACTCTGACACCGAAGTTAAAAAAATCGATTCACCTAATAAATTAAATCTGAAAGATCTTGGACCGGGACCGTCAGCTCTATCTTCCTTCAACTGCTCCACACTGTTGTCGGGATTGGTGTTGGAAGATCCAAAAATTAAAATCGATTTTTGAATCGATCTCAAATTGCGTCAACCAAATCGGTTCACATAGAAAATCGAATCTGAAAAAATCAATGACAATTTAATATTTCTAGCACATGTGAAGAAAATTCAAAATAATATTTGATGTTACGTTTGCCCTTCAATTAAAAGAAGTATAAAAATATTTTGATATTGTGAAAAATGTGTAATATTTCAAGAAGGCAATGAACATTCATCTAAATAGTGACCAAATTGGACAAATTCTTTTATAAAAAATATAGTAGTTTTTTAAAGTTAAAATATCAATGTATAAAGTATCATACACGAACACTTTTCCAGAAAAAACAAGTACCTGAAAAGCAAAAATTCTAAATGCAGAAATATACGTTCGGATGAAAAAAATATTTTTGAACATAATAAAAATACTTTTAGATTAATATTATTTATCAAAATATGGATTCATTAATATTGAGAATGTAAACAAAAAGAAGCTATTCTCACAGTTTTAGAAGCGCAGAGGAGGTAACGTTCGTGTGAATAATTTTTTAACAAGTATGGTTTTATATTTTATTGGAGGTTTCCATTGATGTTACAAGAAATATGCTTTGTTGTACTAGTATGTATTGTATAAATAGAGTTGTATATTATTAAGTATAACATTAAGAGCCAATACATTGTATTTCTTAGATTGATTTCCATGTATTAAAGTATACTCTTCCAACACTAATCGAATTTCAAGGAGCTTTGGCTAAGGGGAAGAACACATCTCGAAGAGTACGAAACTTCATTATTTTTTATCAGATCAAGGAAGGTTTCAAGAAGCTTTGAAACTGAAGTGACATTTATTTAATTGTAATCATTTAATTTTTATGCTGTGATATCCAATTATCCTCTTGCGCGGTATCGCTCAATAAAATGTCAATGTAATGGCATAATCAATCATTAGTCATCGTCATTAATAACCAAACGTTCAGAAAGGGTACTCGATTATAATTTAATAACCCTACAGAATAAAAACCAACTATATCAATACTAGATAAATTTGCGATCGTAATGCAGTCTCGCCAACTAACGCTTGCGGGTGTAAACTTTTCCGTTTCCGGGCAACACCGCAGAGCCTTTACGGCCCGTCGTCTTGCTTTTCATGTCCAAGAACACAAGTATACGAGTTGTATGCCTGAGTAATTCAGTTTAACCTGACATTTTCTTTAATATATAGAATAGAACAGTTTCCCCACGGAAGTTTTCACGCCTGGCCCTGGGCAGAGCGCATGTCACGAGAAGCGAGATGCGTTATGGAGACGGAACAGAACTCTGTCATCACTTGCGGAAAGAAGAAAATTCTTAAAGATATTTTGACTTGTTTCATTCTAGGCGGGGAGAGATGCACGTTACTTACATTATATGAACATTCTTGTAACAGATGATACATAAGAATGTCACATGAAATCCATCCCGTGTAACTTGAATGCTCGGGGACTGTGTTGCATGAATTTCTTTCTGTCGGTTTAGTTAGTCTATTTAAAATTTGACGAGGAAGCTCTCCCTTTCGCCGTGTAAAGCGGTTCACTCTTGAGCACGAGGAGCGAGAGAGCAAACCCTACCCCACCCGTGAGCGTTCGCCGATTCGGACGTTCTGCTCATCGCGAACTCAGCATCACTGGTTTGGTTCGGCGCTGATGGTTGTCGACGCACCGAAAACACCTTGTCAAACGCATGAGATGAACGAGCTACTTCACGAAGGTTAGTGGTGCTTCGCTCGATTGGAACTCGCACTGGAAAGTATCCAGTTTTGAGCCATTGAGAGTAAAAATAATAACGTAAACATGAAGACATAAGCGTGTTCTTTTAATTTAAAGATGGAAGTAGAATACGTAATGACCGTCAACCTAAACGACGAGTCATTTATCTGTACAACGTATCGATACAAGAAATACTGAACACAGAAATTCTGTATACTATAATATAATCAAAAAGCAGCAAGTAAAATGACAATTATTTCTTATACCATGAGGGAGATGAATGATTATATTCTATGTTTCCTGAACAATGATACGGCAAATGAAAATCACCCGTAAATGGTAATGTATGCTTTGGGAGGACCGTAGAGATGAAGCGATAGGCATCATTGTTGGGTGAGCGACCACGTTGAAAAATTTCCCCATAAATTATGCTTAGTGAAATAAATACATTTCCACACTTTCCTTATTTTTTTCTCACGTAGAAAGTGTTGTCAGCGTCAGAATATTTATGATTCATTACAACATCTAAATTAAGCATTTCATACAACAAAAACGAAGAAAAATTTCTATGTCGCGCATTCGCGCTGGTTTCTGTACATTTTCCATCCAGTGGAGCCCTCGCCTGCTGTCGCAAGCTGTCGCAAGCTGTCGCAAGCTGTCGCAAGCTGTCGCAAGCTGTCGCAAGCTGTCGCAAGTGACGCAGAACCGACCGCGCAGTGCGGATGTCGCGCGTCTAGTGAAGGCAAAGTAGTTCAGCAAAACAGCTCGTACAACGTTACTTCGATACATCACCAAAAGGTTTTCGAAGCCGACAAACAAAGCGACAAAAAATATCGATTTTTCAAATATCCAAGTTTTAAATATGATGAAACATTTCAGAGTAAAATGACCCGGCTCTAATGTGATATATAGCACTTCATATTAGTTTAAAGTATATTCTGCCTAAATTTTGACTGTCATCTTAATTTTCTAATCTACGTTTTAAGTAGTCAAGGTTTAAATTGAAATTTAACGAAATTACCATGCACAAAATAATAAAAAAGTAACAACACTGAAGAAAGATTGCAAATAGTAAACTGTTTCATGCCACCTGTAGATCGACAAAAGTGACAGTTGTCAATGGCTGTTGTTTTCGAACAATCCAAAAATAAAATTTAACCGGAAATTTTAGTTATATTATTAGAACTTTTTTAAAACATCGATGTTTCTGCAGAAATATATCGATCTCAAGAAAACATCGAAAGCAAAACATCGATGTTATAATAAGTATGTTTCTGGTCGAAAAGATCGATGTTTTAAAAACATCGATGTGTTTTTGCCAATGGTTCGCGGGGCTCACCGTGCGCAGAGAAGGGCGAGGGCTTGGGGCCGGCGGCGAGGGGCGGCGCGGCGTGCCACGGCGGCGGGAGCCGGGCCCCACCCCACCCCGCCCCCGCCGCGGCTGCCGCCGCGCCGCGCAGCCGCCGCCGCGGGGCCGCCGCCTGGAGGAGTAGTGAGGTGCAGGTTGATTGGCGCGAAGGGGGGCCCGGCCGCCGCAGCCTCCACGTCCCGCGCCAGCTGCGCCGCGCCCGCGCCGCCCGGGTGGTGGTGCACTGGGGAACAGTAAGCAATGCACATCACTTGGTACATTTTATAAAGTTCAGGTTCAAAGGACCCTACCAACGATAATAACACAGCCACACAAAAAAGAAGTATGTTCGTGTCTGGGGATCAGACCATGTATTCTATGTTTTGGGGGTCACTAAATTCGAATTCGGTATTCATTTTACTCCATCATATTAGGTTTTTGACATGATCTCGAAAAATATTTAAAAATGGAAGACATTTCTAATCGAGGGAGAGACCATGTTACCTATATGTTTTTGGGGTCGCTGAAACCGAATCTGAAGTTCAATTAAATTTATCACATCAGATTTTTCACATAACCACAAACAAATTTTAAATCGAAACCAGATTCGAATTTAGCGATCCCCAAAATATATAGAAAACACGGTCTGACCCCCAGACATTAACATAATTTTTTTGCGTGGTTGTGTAATTTAATAACACGGGCCCACAAAATAAAAGAAAAAGTAGTCAGACCCTAAGACTTGAGATCTGTTTCTCAATGCAAGTGAATGTGAAGTCAGAGTTGCGCCACCATCCTACAGTTTGTTTAAATCGCGAAATTGTTTAAACCACCGTGAAATTTACAATTTGCAATTTCACGTTTTTTTGGGGGGGGGGGGATTTAAAGGCACTGGAGGGTCCTGGCGAAATTCTGGCTTCACATTTGGATTCAGAGCGTCGACACACATCGAGAAACATGTGTCAAGACTTCGGGTCTGACAACTTTTTCTTTGTGTGCCTGTGTAATCATTTATATGTAAAACAATCTTATTAAATTCATGAGCACAAAGAAGTTAAATATTTTGGAATTTTCACGAAGAGATAGCCAATAACTAAATTCACTTAGCATGCCGAACATTGCTGAAATTCATTGTGTTTATGTGTTTGTCTTTCCTATTGAATTTCAATTTTGAATGGCTACTGGTGATGAGCTTTGGTGTGTGTTTTGGTGAGGCTTCTGGGAGCTCTATGACACATGACTATACGAGATTCCATAACGTAAATCAAGTTCTGATGAGAACAATAATGTTCAGAAACATCGTCAAAGTCAGTGAAGCTAGTCATTGACCAATTCATTAAGAATTTCAAAATCATTAATATTAATATTAATAATAATAATAATAATAGGGCATTTTGGGCATTTAGGGCATTTTGAACGCATTTAAGAGCATTTTATTGATAATTTTTGGCAATGTTTTATGTCATCAAAATCCGCCCCTATCAACACACCCTAAAAACAATAACAATAATCATTTAGTACGTCAACACGCAATGTACGCTATATGACACATCTCGTGGGAGCAAAGCGACACTTGAATAGTGTCTAGAAGAAAGTCATTTGTTACAATTTTAGTCTTTCAGGGGTTACCAAAAACATCAAAGGCGTCTCATGTCGTGTCGTAATCGCCACAGAAATCACATTGTGGATGCAAGAGAAAAGTGACCTACCTAAAAATTGTCATTTTGCAAGAGAACGGAATGTATTTTGAGTTGAGCCATTTAATTCGTGACCAAAGACCATGATTTTAACTCTGTAAACCGGATACATTAAGAATTTTCTTTATCAATTTTTTAATTGTAAAATTAAACTTAAAACTGGCGTCACCGTAGTGGAGTTTGGTTAGCTAATAGTGTGCCGATAGCGTGGCCTCTTTCAGGGCGTAACGTCGGCCAACCAGTCCACGTTGCGGCGCCGACCAGCCGGCTGAAGGCTACGACTCAACAAAAGGGTCTAAAAATAATGACCTCGTAATTGAGAGAATGGTTTTATATCTCACCAAATGCAGATAGACACTAAAAGCATCACACATGCACAAACTCTTTGCACGAATGCTCGAGAAATGCAATTATTCTGGTATATTGAAATGAAAATTACCAAAAAAAAACAACAAAACAGATAAACAGATAATACAATATCTTTTATTCAAATCTCCTTTGATGAATTGAAAATGAGAAATGTAATCACAAGGAAAAATCGCATTTTTTCGGTGCTAGCGACATAATACATAATCAAATATTTGAAAGTTTTATTTGTTGAAACTATATTTTTCTTCGTAACAATAAAAACGCCATCTTAACTCTTAATGAATAATTTCGATGAGCAATAATTATAGTGAGTGATGTTTCAGTCAATTCGAATTTAAAGGAACAGATAAGATTCATTAAGGGCACACCATTGAGATTCGGGTAAGGGATGATGGCCTCAGTATCGCAATTTTGCTCAAGTATGCAGAACTATTGGGAAATAAATACAGTAGAACCCCGGTTATCCTAATTGGGAGAGTGATCTGTTCAAATTTGCACATGTTGGGATTATCCGAAAAAAATGTACCGTACATATACAAATATATTATAGGATTACCAGACAATGCAACGTAGCAGGGGATATCAGAAAATGGCAACGTAGCTTAGCGAACGCATCATTACATCGCATCAAGTCGATTCAGTTTCTCATGGCAATATATAACATATTTTTCGCATTCATCAAATCAAAAATTTGTACATTTGTACATAAACATGTGATATACACCGTAGTTACCAGAGAAATAAAAGTTTCATTTCGATAACCTGTGTTTCAATAACTAGTTATCCAGTTCTACAGTAATTTTAAAATCCTTTCTTTACACTATAAATAAGATTTTTTATTTACTTAATTTATTTTTCCTCCTTCCCGAATTTTGTTATAATTATCCGAAATTTCGGATTTGCGGGGTTCAGATTAGCGAGGTTCTACTGCAGAATGAAAGAAATAAAGAGAGTAAAGGAAAATCTCGGAGTGACTCGCGCCATCTGCCAGCTGTCACGTGCAGGAAGAAAGCGCCCAGCGCGTGTCATCTCTTGCGCGGCAGAATTGGGTTGTCCATTCAGAAAGTGGTTGTAACACTGACATGCAGACTCTCGTTACATCTTTGCTGATTCATTAGGGAAACCCATCAGAACGCTGCTCCGGGAGCAACGAGACACTTTACGCAGCTGAAGCAACCGAACGAAGCGAAGGCAAGAGTGAGACGTTCAAGAAAAATGATTGTTAGTGATTCCGGGCGTCTCAACACCTCAGGTCATTCTTAACCTAAGTGTAGTGCATGTATTTTCCTCGGGAGGAGGCGGTGATCTTCCCGGCGCAATGGCGAGATCTGGCGCCCACCTACCGTCAATTAGCGGGGCTTTCTCCAACCAAGTATCTCCCAACAGCGGGGCACAGCCCCAACCAGGACAAACTCTATGCTCCCCACTGACCCATGGCGCATTCGTTAGGGCACTGCTTCGACATTCGCATGGTGTTGATTAGAGCAATCACGGAAAACTACCGATTAAAGCAGGCCCCTGCAAATCTTCCCCGATCATCGACTAATTCGACCTAGCTGAGGATCTAGTGCCGAAAATTCTTCCACCGTAAGGACTCAAAACTAAGACCTCCCGGTCATAGGTACCGCAGTGACATCAGTTGATGCCCTGAGCTAACTCTACTGATCAAGAAAAGTAGAAGGGGGAGAAAATGAAAAGGGTTACCTATGGAAAGCTCAGTACATTTTTGAATTCACGCAAATTATCTTTAAAAACTTCGACTACCAGTTGGGCAGAGCAAAGAAATTCGACACGTTGATACCAGTACAAATAGAGGAGTACGAACATTCTGAGATAAACTTTATATGTTGTACGTAAGTAAATACCGGAGTAGCAGAAAAAGCAACATATCTCGTAAGACGTTGGAGACGGAGTCAACTATTAAAATGAATAGTTTCAAGTAAATAAGGATCATTTACGCGACTGAGGCTGAAGCGCATGGCGGGTTCGGCAGCGGCATGGATCTCTGCAGCTCTGAATGCTCCTCGGCAGCTGCCACCGAAAGCTATCGACCTCACACTCCAAGGTTCGAAAGCATTTCTCATTACGTAAACAGTCCTTTTTGGATATAATGAACTCCGTTAAAGTGAACTTTCGGTTGTAGTGAACCAAAGTCGCTGGTTCAAGGCAAAATAGAGTTGTAGCTTTCCTTTGGAAATCGTCACATTTTTTGTAGCTGTGTGACGAAGAAAAGCTCAGGGAGGATACGATAGCGAGTTACTGAGAGGGAATACGTCAGCGTGGGTGTTGATTTAGGCGCACTCATGGAAGACACCGTCAGCTAGGCGGTAAAGTCGGGCTCTCGACCCAAAATGCCAAGTACATACAAGTCGCTTGTTCCGATCACGTACGTGAACTAGACGATTTGGTTATAGTCAATTCCATACAGCAGCTGTAGTGAAGATAAATATAACTTCCAAGAAAAAATCACTTCGCATCAAAACCGCAAATTCCAAAAAGATTGAGTGTTTGCAGGCGAAAGGTCTTGCGAGTTATTTTTGTTAGGCTTGGATATTTTATACACCAATAATCGAGAAGAAACTAATTTATTTTCGCATTAACCGATATAGAGAACCAAACATGTAAGTCCCAAGAGGATTACAAAAACAGGTGTCGACTGCAGTTTTCAAAATGTCGAATCTTCTTTAGCTAGCGCCTACTTTGCCTCTTCACGAGAAGTGCCGTATTCTGATCGGCGCTGCCTCGCTCCATGTGCGGCAACTCGGCGTCGCGAGCCGCGCGGGGCTGCTGAGCCGAGGCCGAGAGCGCAAGGGGTGGGGGCGGAGGCTGCCTCAGCGCCAGGGGAGCAGCCTTCCGCTCAATTTGCCATCACCCCCCCCGCCCGCTCCCGCCCCGAATTACGCGCTATTCAGCGGCGCACGACGCCCGAGGAGGAGCGCTGTCAACGCGCGTCCGCCTCCTCGCGACTCGCCCCCCCCGCGCGCCCCGCCCCGCCGCACCCCCTGCTCGGGCCCCCTCCCCGGCACCCGCTCGCGTTGCTCCATCCTCTCCCGGCCCTCCCCGACGCTCACCTCCTGGCTCGCTCACGGCCCTCCCGGCCCTCCGCCGGCCGTCCCGCCGTCCCCGCCGTCCCCGGCCTCCCGGCCCTCCCGCCTCCCCGGCCCTCCCCGGCC